AATGTATTCATGCGATACCTTACTTTTGACTATAATAGTTAATGGATAATGCCGCTGCCATTATTGTTGCCAATGGTGTGAATTGTGTAATAAATCCGCCTACTGCTCTTAACTGATCTTTCATATTATTAGCTTATATCGGAAATGATGGTATGGACTAATGGAGGTTAATTTCTCTCTTACTCACTCAAGAGGTGAAACATGAAAAAAAAAAGAGGATAAAGAAGAAAGAAATGAATGTAAATTAGACGAATTTTAGAGGGGGAAAAAAAAATTTGGATAAGAAATTAAATTTATTTTACTCGAAATTAGAATATTCATAAAATTTAAATATAAATTTCAACAATTATATATTTAAATTTTAAGATGTCTGATTTTTTGAATTCTTTTTTTTTTCATTGAATTTTTGTTTTAAATTCCTTTGATTTTATTTCAGTTTCTCATTTTAATTTGAAGTATAAAGTTTAATTCACTTCCAATCATTTATCAAATATTTTATATAGAGATCGAAGGTGAAGCAAATGTTGTTTTCTATTTCTTCTAATACAATGATGACAGGTCATTTGTGGAAAATGTTTACCGTTATTTGATACGAAACATCCTGTCTCTCTGTTCAAATGATATATCTTCTTCTTTCTGAGTTGGATACTGTAGATGACAGTTTTGTTGAAATAGCCATTAGCTATAATGATTTTAAAGTGGCTTGATGAAAGCACTTTGATAGTTGCCTTCTATGAAATTTCATTATCAGCATTATCTGCTACCAACATAAGCCAAGTAAATGTAAAAAAAAAAAACAAACAAATACATTACCATTTTTGCTATTATTACTATCCTGATAATGTTATCTGATAAATATTCCATTATCACTCTTATCCTTATCTCTTTTTTATTCCTCAAATAATTTAATTCTCATTCTCTGAACAATATCACCACTGCATTTTAAGATGATTTTTTTTTTTGGATAAAATTGTGAAAATTTTTCAAGATTATGCAAATTAGAATTAATATCTAAGCTTAATCTAAAATTTTCAGATAATTCTTCTTGAGAGTAAAATGATAGATTAAATTGTTCATTATATGTAGTAAATAAAGAAGATTTACCACCTGTTTCCTGTCTTATCTTTCAATTCTTTTCCTTCTCATCAATTGATGCAGTTGGTTTTTTTTTTTTGCTGGGAATTAGACTGTACAAGTACTACTCGACCTTTAACCCTTAAGTACCCATACTTCAATCTTTCCACTCAGCGTTGAATCGACCAGTAATGCCATTATCAATAAATTATACCCTACATTGCGTCAGAAAAAAGAGATTCCTCTTTCATTCAGGGATGAAATTATATTTTTTTTCATGGGATAGAAATTTAGCAAAAAAAAATGAGTGGAAAAAAAAAGACAAAAAATCAGAAATGAAAATAGGAAAGGAAGAAGAAATAATCGATTTTAATTTTAATTTTGAAAATTGATTGTAATTTTTTTGAAAAATAAAGTTGAAATGTGTAGCAATTTTTCGAACAGTTTTCAAATCGTTTTTCTCTTTTCTTTTTTTTTTTTTGTTTTGAATTAGAAAAATTGTTTATTTGAAAGCGTCTTAAATGAATTTGAAGCAGCAAATAGTATTATGCATTACATAAAAAGTGTCAAGTTTTTTCATTTCAATTTTTGTTTTTTTGATTCCAGAATCTTTTTTTTTTCAAAAAAAAAATGAAACATTTGATGATTATTTTCAGTTGCCGAAGGTCTTATCAAATTTTTGATTACTCTCTGTAATGGTTCACATGTTTATCTCGATCATGTCGTGCAGCAAATTGAATACGGTCATGGAAGTTCGTTTTTTTTTTTTCTTTAATTATTATTTCATCAGATTTTTCCTTCTGTTAAGCGTTGGTCCTAATTTTGCCTTCAAAAAATTTCAAAGTTATTAGATGAAAAACACGAATAGCTTGGACTAGTTTATTTCCCTTCTTTTTTTTTCAGACAAATGTTAATTAGAGATAATTTTGATAAAACTAGCATTAGATTAAGTTCTTCAATTTTTATCATTCTTTTTGCAGTAATTATTTGAGATTTTTGAAAATTTAAATTCGGAAATTGTTATTTGTCTTATCTTTTTATCTGTCATCAATTCATTAAAATTAGCATTTCAGGAGTGAATGTAAAATGTTTGGTCAATGGTACTCGTGAGGTATCTTTCAATGGTGATTGTGTATTGTGTACCGTACCGCTCGGTGTCCTTAAACGATCAGTTCGAAATCGAAATAATGCACCATTATTTCATCCCGAGTTACCGCGTTGGAAAATTGATGCTATTAATTCGCTTGGTTTTGGAAATGTTAATAAGGTGAGGGAAAATTTCTATTAGATTATTTGATTATTCAATTCGAGAATGACAGCATTCTTTTATCAATAATGTTGTCATGAAAATATAGCTGACACTTAATAAAGTTTATTAATCTAATTTGTTTATTTTTTTTTTTTGGTTTCAATTTTAGATTATGCTATTTTTCGAGAAATCATTCTGGGAGAATACACGTGTTTTCGGGCAAATATCAGATACCATGTTAGTTATTTGTATTAATTATTTAAATTTTGGATTGATATTCTAAAAGAGATATTATATATATACATGTTATTATCCGAATTTAATTCACCATTTACTTCGTTTAAAATATCTAACAAATGAACATTTTTGTTTTGAACATTTGAACATCATAATGAACATTTTTGTTTACAGGTGTGCAACTAGCCGCGGTGAAATGTTCATGTTTCAAGCTCATCGCGATAAGCCACTCCTCATTGCACTTGTCTCGGGTGATTCGGCTAATGCTCTCGAAGAAGCACCAGCTGATATCATTGTTTATCAAATCATGAATTTCCTTTCTGCTATTTTTGGTCCAGCATGTCCAAAAGAGGTGTGTCTACAATATGCTGTGATTTTTACAGAAGATATTCTTCAACATTACATGATCTTTTAGATAAATGCTCATGTGAAATATCAAACATTAGGACAATTTGAATTCATTTTTTAATATATATATATATTTGGAAAGGAATTACATTTAAAATTAAAATTTAATGCATAAATGGATGATAAAATATCGTTGAAGATAGCATTAATTGATTTGTGTAAAAAAAAATGAATTGATGTGAATATTATCATTTTTAAATCTTTTAATTTGCATTTTAAGATTATTTCCTCTCAAATTTTTAAATGTTTTATTTTTTTCCCCCCTTTTTTTTTTTCAGCCAAAAGATGTAATTATAACACGTTGGAGATCCGATCGTTTTTCGTGTGGCGCTTTCAGCTATGTTCCACCAAATTGTACATGTAAATACACTTAAACAGAATTTTGTCCGATAATTTATTAAATTTCATCATGAATTTTTACTTTGAAAGTCTATGCTAGAGAAAATATTAAATTAATTAAATTTGAAATTTTGTTATTTGTTCAAAAATTTTTACCTGAATTTTCAGTTTTTCCGAGTAAATTAATTAAAATTTTAGTGGATGCATATGATAGTTTAGCAGCAGCAGTGAAAGATTCGACTGGTTATGATCGAATTTTTTTTGCTGGTGAGCATACCTGTCGAGAACATCCTGGATCAGTTCGTTTAAATAATACTCTTTTTTTTTTTGAAAAAAAAATTTAACACTATTCATTGATAGTTATCGAAATAATACTTTTACCTTAGTTTTAAATTACTTCCAAACACTGAATAGTGTTATTATCAAATATTTTATTTCATAATATCGTTTTCGTGCATTATTTTTTCTCTCAAAATCGGTTCGTTTAAATAATAGTTTTTTTTTAAAAAAAAAACTTAACACTGTACGTTGATAGTTATTGAAATAATACTTTTACCTTAATTTTAAATTATTTCAAATATTGAATAGTGTTATTATTATCAAATATTCCATTTCATGATATCATTTTTATTCATTATTTTTTCTCTCAAATATTTTCAGATTCATGGTGCATATTTATCAGGTTTACGTGAAGCCGGACATATCGCCGATCGTTTACTTGGAATTCCTTATGGAACCCAAATTGATCCCAAAAGAACAATCGCTTAAGCCGGAAAAGTTTAACATTTTTCACTTATTTCTTTCAATGAAAATTGCTATGAAATTGCAAATTGTCTTTGCAAATATTTCATGAAAAATGCGAACTTTGCCCAATTCTCTTTTTACATTAAATTTTTAATGATTAAACAAAAAAAAAAATGATTGGTGAAAAATTAGATATTTTGGAGATTTCCTTCCTTTCTTTATCTATCATTATTTATTTAATTGATATTTTTCAAGGATATATACTTCGGAATTATCTAATTTTTATCAATTTTTTTAATATTTCTCACTATTTCTATTGTCGATAATTTTGAAAATTTTGTAAATTTTTTTCGAAATAAAGAATTTCCATTTCTCAGAAACATTCTAAGCAACTGCTTCATTTTTTTACTGTTACTAAAAAGTAAGCATTTCAATAAAAGTAAAAAAAAAGTTCACTGAAAGTTTAAATAACAAAAAAATTACAATAATTAAATGTGAAAATTGCACAGTTATCATCGTGAAACATCTAATCACATATCGATCTATTGATCGCTTTCATAGATTATTCAATTGTGAAGTAAAGAATTTTTTCTTACTTTAGTTTTCTTGCTAATTAATTAAAAGAATATATCGTTTAATAACAAATGATATTATTTGAACTATTGCTTAAGTCTTAATTTTACATTTCATAACGTTCAAAGAGCATTCTTCTAATAACTATAAATTGTAAAGCTATAATAATTGTTAAAGCATCGTATAAAACGGAAATATGCTTTGAAGCGAAATTACTGTTAGGTCATAGGTTATCTAAAATTGCAGTCTGTAAGGAAGAATCAATTTGATTAAACTGAGAAAATGTTTTTAATGCAATTTCTACATTATCGATAAATTTTGAAAATTTTGCATCACACCACGTTCTTCCTATTTTATCAAACAAGATATCAGAAATTTTATCACTATAGCTATAAATTTCTAAATTCAATTTTAAACTTTATTTTTTATTTTTAAAAATGGGTTTCCGCTGCTAATTTAGATGTTACTATTATTAGTTTTATTTGGAATAAATTTCTAATGAAATAATTTGTTGACTTGAGAGTTTGAATGTTTTATTTTTGTTGCTTGCTTGAATTTCAAATTTTGGAAATAAATTTGTTAACCTTTGGGAATTCCCCTATGTTTTGGTTATCTCATTTTTTTGCTTCAATTTTTAGATTATTTTAAGTTTGAAAGATAAATTTCGACAATATTTTATCTAGGAAAAACAATGAAAAAAAAGCTGAAAGGCACCGAACAAATGAATCTACAAATAACAAACTATGCCAAGAAATTTACAATTCGGACACAAAAATCACAATTTTGTATTCATTTTAAAACCTATTAAAAATTTCTGGTATGAAAAAAAATAACAATTGGGGACAAGAATACGATTTAATTTGAAATATTTAAACAATCTATCAATTATTTCAATAGTTGAGCTATTAAACAGAAATGTAAGGAACGAACAAATAAATAAAATTTTCAGAGAAATTACATTAAGAAGTAAGAGGCTAAATTTTTCATCTTTTCAAATGATAAATTTAATTAGCCGTATTATTGTATTTCTAATTATTAATCACTTGAAAGTGAAGAAAAAAAAGTTATTCAGTAATGATAATTACTACGAGATTCATAAGTATTATCGCGTACATCACGGCGGAAATCTTCCTCATCGTAATCATCGAAACCGTGCACATCATCATTTTGTAATGCCGATCTTTGAGGGAGATTTTGAATCGGAACTGATGATTGTACCGGTTCTTGGTAATATCCGGAATTCTAAATTAATTGCTCATTATATTGTATCTATAAATAAAAGTTTTTTTCTTCCAAAAATTTTTAACAAAAAAAAAAATGTAAAGGGTACTTTAAGTAATTGTGCTCTTTAGTTGGAATAGTAATTCAAATTTGAATTTCATTTTTGAAAAATCTTATTTATATGTGACAGTAACAATTGCAATCATGAAATTTTTTTTTGCATAGGCCAATTCGAATGTTTCAATTTTTCCTTTGAAAATTTTCAAAAATCAGGTCAATAGTTCGAAATTTGATGGAAAACAATGGAAATAGCCATAGGCTTACAATGAAGTAATGCAAATATGAAAAGTGTATCATAAAGAGTCAAAGATCAATTTTGGTTACGGAATAAATAATTTTTTTTCTCAAGGAAATTAACTGAATTTCTAATTTTAAGCTTAATTTATCAAACGTTATATTTGAATTGATAATATTAAAATTAAAAAATGCAATGATGTAATAAAAAGAAGATGACAAATATAAATAAGTCCATGAAAAGGTAAAAAACTAAAAAAACTTAGTAAAAAATGAGTAATAATACACAATTTGTTAATTTTATGAAAGTAATATTTTGTGACATTTTCATCAATTTTTTGTTTCAAAAAATTGTAAAAAAAAAATATTTGAAAGTAAAAATGAAATATTGAAAAATGGAAAAATTTTTTCCCCGCTAGCAATTATTGACGGCTTCTTGGAATGTTTCATTTCAAAACTTTCTTGACTTAGTCAAACTAATGGAAATTGTTAAAATGAAGATTAAAAAATTAACCGATGGAAGAGAAAATATTGGAACACGTTGTTGTTGTTGTTGTTGTTGTTGTTGTTGTTGTTGTTGTTGTTGTTGTTGTTGTTGTTGTTGTTGTGGACTTCTTTGTCGAACCGATGGTGGAAAATTCATATTTGGTGAACTAACCATTGGTGTTACTGCTAATGGATGTCCCAGTCCTGAATTATATCGTTAGTTTAGATATTTCAATTATTTATCGTAATTACCATAATTTATTATAGGATATTTTAAAATCGATATAATACAAACAGGAAAAGTTTATCGTTGTAAACTTTCCCGGTATTGATATTACTTTGAAATTACAAAAAAAAAAAAAAAATTTCCAATTGTTTTCTATTTCAAAATATACGATGTGGTTCGATTATTTCTCAATTAAATTCAATTTAAATTTTGGACACAAAATTTTTGTAAAATTTATATAATTCAAATTAGTATTATTAACCTTGCATCATTTGTGATGGTGTGAATAGTGTTGATGGTCCGCGATTTTCCATCGGATTGCGCTTTATTCGGGGCGGTGATTTAACGGGCGGATGTGTCGCTCTCCAGTATGATTCCATATAATCAGCTAAATGCTCGCATGCATCTTCCAGTTGATTTTCATCCAACAAAACATCAAACATTTCCTAAAATAAAATTTTAAAAACAAAAAAAAAAAATGTTCGATGAATGATAAGATTGAAGCAAATAATCAATTATCATTTAATTTTATCAATGATAAAATTGTACTGATACAATAATTTCCGATTGTTTTCATTTACTTTTATAAATGAGATTTTGTAAAAATCATTTTATAAAATTTCAGCTTACCACCGGACACTGTGCTAATTTTTCAGCTGCAACCATTTGTACATTCATATTTCGCGTTTGTGATTTATTCCTCGATTTGATAAGCCTTTGGAGCACCTAAAATTAAAGATAGAAAGATTGTCTGAAAAAACGAATGCATACCTTTCATATATATATATATATATATATATGTTTTTAGTTGTTTTCCATATATTTCATACAACAAAATAGTCGATTTAAATTTTAGCTTCATCCTTCAATTCAATTAATTTTTCCGATAAAAGTTTCGATAAAGATGAAATTTTTCCGATAAAGAAAACAAACTTTAGGTGAGCTAATTTTGATGTAAACATGAATTGGTGCAAGCGATGTTTTGGCCAATTGTGATGGATGATTGATTGTGTCACAATCTAACACGACAAGTTGCATGGATCGGGCTAATTCAAATATCCTTTCTATTTCTGCTTGAATTTCAGCTGAAAAGGAAGAGAAATGATGCTTATTATTAATGAAAACTAAAACTTAAAAGCCAATAAATTTTATTTTTTAGCATCATATATGCTTTTCCAATATTCTCAAAAAATCATTTAAAAGTTTCTAAAACAACTCACCATTACGAATTATCACATCTATAATTTTTCAAAAGAAAAAGATCATCCTTTCTGCCTGCAAGGAAAATGTCTATGTCACCTCAGGAAATTATTTAAATCTTTTCACCTGAGGGAAACGTCTACACTTAAATTGTCACCTCAGAAAAAGTATCTGTACCTAAATTATTGCTTGATCTTGAATTTACTCTCTCCATTGTTGCACGTTTCGATGGATTATTCATCAATGTTCGTTTTGCCAATGATATATCAGCAGTAACCCGTGTAATTATTATCCTGGAAAAAACATGCATATAAATTATCAAATTTCATATCTATTCTCACTTATATTTTGAACGTTTTTAAAATAAAACTTGAAACAGAAGTTTTGAAAATTTTTATAAAAGCAAAAAAAAAAGTGATGATGCCAACTAACCGTCCTTCAAATCGATGTTTAAGATAATCAAAAACAGCTTTTTGCATCATATCTGTGACCTCATAACCTTTTAATGATGGTCCAACAATGACAACAGGTCTCATTGATGGTACCACATCATAAGGAGGTAAACTTTCTTGCTATAATAATTACTTCCAGTGATTTGGAAACTTTTATGTGCTTAAATTATAATTTTTTATACAAAATTTGATTGACAAACATTTCAAATTCAAAGTTTTTTACTTTTTTAAATTTAAAAAAAATCAGAAAAAAATAAAAGTTCCATAAATGGTTTCAATTTTGGAAGGTACCAATTACCTTCTTAAACATTAATTTCCTCTTTTCTTTTGCATGCGGAAGTGTTGAAACTAAATCAGTGATTTTTTTGCCATGCGCATCCTCCTCATCTAATTCACCGCCTGAAAATATTTTGAGATATTTCGGAAAAGTAAAAGAAAGCAATCTTCCTCATCATTCAGGATAATGAGTAAATGATAGAGTATGCGGAAATAGTTATAGAGTATGCGGAAAAAAATCCAAATTTTATTCATACATAAAATCGTCGTTTAAGTGTTTCAAATTAAAATTTAAA